AGATGTAATTAACTATAGGGGTTTGCCCTTATAGGAAGCTTTTCCGAACCCAGCTTAAAATAAACTCTATTTAATTATTTGTATTAAATAGGGGAACTTGTCGGCAAATAAAACGGTTTCGCAGACCCAAACGGACGTCATATGTTTTCCTAGTTTATTTGATTGAGTCTCATCCTCAAGTCTTGTGTTTATCCCTCGGGATAGATACAAGATTTAAGGTAGAGCGCTCTTTCAATTAAACTGTTTAAAATATGAGGTCAGTTTGATTTCATATTTTTCTAAAATTATATACATATACGTAAATTAAAAAGTCCTTTCGAAGCGGGCGACGGGATTTCGATTCCGGCTGCCGACAGCTTCTTACGGGCGACCCCCAAACATTAACTTTTTCCTCTTTTAAGCGCCGACAATGGCTAGCAAGTGAAATAGCAAGAAAGTTCTCTCTTAAGTCTTCCAAACCAAGTTTAAACACACCCAAAACTATAAGTGAAATATTTCCCCTTAGGCTTTACAACTAAAAGCATGAGGGAGGAAACTGTTTCTACAACGAACCTCAAATGCTTGAAACTTTACCGATCATTGACATCAAACTACATCACTCCTAATAGAATCCAATCAGCTCAACAGCAGATCCAAACTTCATTATATCAGGCCAAGTGAAGGGTTCTTTTCATTGCAGTATTTTAGACAAGAAAAGCTCCTCTCTCACCATACTCTTGCGCTCTTAAATTCCAAACTGGTCCAAAGGGAGTCTATGTCGCCTCCCCCGCTACACATTCTAGCTGGCCACTTTCATTGGGCATCTCTGGAAGGAGCTTCAACATCTCTTCAAAGAGACGCTTAGCTCCGCATGGAAAAGGGCTTCGCCATGATAAGAGAAATCTTTTGCAAATCAGTTGCTTTGTCATCTGACCCCAAATAGGATTGAAATGCCTTCAATCAATCCTTATAAAGTGTCCTTGAGCTCTAATGAGCATGTCAAAATAAAATCTTGCTCAAGCTTCCCTACAACATAAGAGAAATGTGAAGTCCCAGTTCTACTCTCACCCACAATAGTTTGTAATAACAAAAGAGGGTAACTTTTTGTGATTAATTTATCAAAAAACTACATATCATCAACGATCATTACAATATCTTTGGGATTTATCAAAGGGAAGCAGAGTTGCTCCATGACCGCTTCTTTATTGAACTTCTAGGTAAATTATTTCAAGGTGGAATTCAACATTGAATTATTTTTCACTCTTTTAGTGGGAAATTGTTTGATCTTATATTGTGATCATCCAACCTTTATTTCTTACTAGATTAGATCGATACATCAGCCGATATCTTCTACCCTTCAAGAATATGCAATAAGGCATTGCTTATTACCTCAAATATGAGTTAATTGTCAAATCTTTAATTGATGATATAGCAATAAAGAACCAAGAAAATACCAACAATACATGAGTACTAAAAGGAATATTAGCTCACTAGAAAAGTCGGTGCATGCTACTCAATGACTTTGACTCCACCCAATATTTGTTACAAAAAAAGCGATCAAGAGCATCGCATAGAATATTTCACATGCATAGAGCAAGTATAAGAGTTAATGATGAAGCTAAGGACTCAGCCAAAAGCAACTAATGAGTGGACATGACAATCTTTTAACCCATCAAAATACATGAAACATTAACAATGCTTCTATCAGTCGCCAAAAGTCCCATCTAAGAGGAAGAATCACTTTGTGTTCATGTGGCACTAAATAAACATGAATAATCTTTTGTGTTGTGTAATTAAAGTTATAATACAGCCTCATGGCCTCTACTGTTCTCCCCTTCAGCATCTAGAGTGATCTTCTCCTTCATTATTTCCGAATGCTGCCATCACTACCCAATAAGTCATCTTGACTTGAAGCCAAAGCAGTCAACAAAGTTGTCAATGGGGGATTATTGTCACTTCATTGTCACTAAAGGGATGAAAGGGTTAAATCAACAAAAGATTGGCTCAATCATCCATAATTGTTCAAGTCCATCAGCAGGTCAATCTAAATCCAGACCGACAAAATTAACATTGTTCAATTCACTTCCTTAAGATGCATGCCAATCCTAAAATGAAGATTGCAAGTATCCCAAAAAAAATAGCCAACCTTACATGCTTCAAATGCATCATGCTGTTCCCTACATTAAGAATTAAGGAGATCTAATTAGTATTCTGAAGTGCTTGAAAGCTGCATTTTTAAGTTGTCTCCACTAAAATAATCAAAATCAATAAGGCACAAATAAAATGACATCTACGCCAATAAATTTCATTAATGCTAGGACCGCTCCTAGCAAAGGTTCTAAATAGGTGTGTAGATAACCTTTAGTTGTTTTTTTTTTCCTCAATCTCACTCCCTGTGCACTCTAGTAATAAAATGCTCAACATTTAGAAAACCTGAGCTCAATCACTTTAGACCTTAAATAGAGGAAAATGATAACTGATTCACAAAAGTCCACCCTTAAATTTGGCTAACCTGAATTCTTAACTAGCATAGTTCTTAACTTGAGCATCATATGTTTTCTAAGAAAGTTTAAGCCCTTGGAGTCTTACTTATTTTGATTACAAACATCCTCTAAATTCAAAAGATAAAAAATATCACACGTCCTAGAGTTGAAGGCATGATTAATGCAGTATATTTTAAAGCACAAAAGTTTGTTAGAGGCTCACACAACAATACCATCACCATTTTTATATTAATTTTTACAAAAACTAAAACAGTTACTTGATATTTCGAAGCTACTAACTTCTACTATACCATTATAAAACTTTTATAAAATAGATAAATTAGGTAGAAGCTTTAACAACTAACCAAACACAAGCACACACATTGACACACAAACAATTAATATTGATTTCAGGTAATTCCTAAAACTCACCTCCAATCTAAGGATTTCATTTTTTTCCCGTAAAGAGAGCACTTCCTGAAAAGAAAAAAAAAACAAAACAAAACAAAACAGTTCCTCAAATTATATCTCAAAAAAATACACAAATTAAAATTCAAGCTTCCAATGAAATTTAACCTTCTCTAGGTCAGTATCAGAGACTGCAATTAGCGGAGCATATAAGTTAATCATCTCAGTTTGCTTGAACCTTGCACTACATTGAGGGCACTGCAGAATAAACCATTCAAGCCAAATAAAAAATTATCAGTGTTTTCTAAATATTCTACAATGTGGCCTCAGATTAAACCAAATCCACTTCAGTGATATCTACATACCTTAGCTACATTCTTTTTGCATCGTTTCATCCATCTTTCTAAGCAAGATCGACCATAAACATGCCCACAAGGAATGCAACTATAAGAAATAGGTGTCAAAAACTACAGCAAAAAAAACTTATAAATAGATAGCAAACAATACAAGAAAAAGAAAAAAGTCTAAGTCGTTGGCCCAACATTAGGGAGGAAACAGCATATGCATCTAAATTTTTTACTAATTCGATGATCATCTCTTCAAATTACCATGTCGTACTATTTATAAAAAGATGTCTTTGAACAAATTCTAAATGCCCCTAATTTATAAGAAATGAAATTTCTGAAAAAAAACATGGTTTAACATGAACAAATGAAACAGTGACAAACAACAAGAAAATATATTTCAAACTCCATAAGGACTCAAATGCAAATTGAATAAATACTCTTTAAGCATGAACAATATGACAAATGGATTTGACTATGAATGTCATATTGAAATTAAAAAGTAGAAAATTTTGGAACCCAATGATGTCGACTATCACAATGTTCAAGAAAAAAAATCAAAAGTTTAGTTATAAGCCATCAGGTCCCAATTCCCAAGCTGGCATGAAAAAGTTTTAGGATAGATAATAGAATATGTAAACAAAAATTTGTAAGACATTTGCCAAAGTTTTTAACTTGAAATTTGAATTCTTTTGTGTTTTACTTCGAAGCAACACACTATGACCAAACCTATTTATGTCAAGAAATAAGCAAGGATTTTTTAGGACATCATTTGAAGAGACATCAAATATTAACCCATTTGTAGTGGCTAACCAGGACTTGCAAATATAAAAATAAAAAGTAACAAAAACCTCTTAGATCACTTCAGTGTAGATGAGAGTAGGTTTGCCCATATATGTGAATGGATATTTATGAAAAAGTTATATTGGATATGATGGAAAAATAATGGAAAATGGTTATTTGATACGAAGGAAAGAACTCTATCATTTAGCCCAACAACAACAATTGTAAGAAAATAAGAATGGTGAATAGCTATAAGTGCAGCTTCAAAAAAGAAAAGGCTTGAAATCAAAAGCTAGAATAGTAATTGTAGCATGATCTCAATACACGGCGTAAAAGGTGAAAGAAAGGGTAGAAATCTACATCAAGCTATAGCAAAACTGGAGAGGACAGCATGATATCCCTACATGCAAAAAGGATCAAGAATGATAGCCCTAAAGCAGCCCAAGTGTAGGAAAAGCCAGGTGTTCACATCATATTGATGTCATGACACATCTAACATATCTGAAATGGTATGTTACGGCACATATGCATTAGAGTTTCTAATTCGAAGGCCTTCTATCCCCACCAGTCATTTGCTCTTCATTAAAACGTAACGTTAAGGATCATATTGATATACGTTAGGGAAGAGTGTAGAAGGCTTACAATATGCTGAGGAACCACCCTTGTGGGTAGGTTCAATTGGGTCTATGCAATAATGCCAAAATATAGCAATAAAAAAAAGATGCATAAGATTAGGAGCTAAATCTGCATGCACTAATGCCAAAATATAGCAGCAATTGTGAATCTTCAACGGTGCACAGGTGGTCTAACTCGGCCAAGCCGAGCTGAGCGTAAATCCAAGAGAGCTTGTAGTGCGAGTTAGAAAGCATAGTATTTTGAGAATATGTCTGTCAAAGAACGTGTCTTATAGTGACTAGTTTGATGTAAAATAAATGTAAGAGATGCATAAGATTATTAAAATGTTATATCTTATTAAGCAAATTATTAATGAGGAACTTTAAATGTGGTTAGATTTTATTTTCCTCAAATTAAATTGCTCGATAAAAAAAACTTCGCGAAGAGAAGTGTGAACTAAACATGTAATTCATAGGAGGGGGCATAATGGAGTTAATTTAGGAGTTGTTTGGTTTGCTGAAAAAAAATGCAGTGTAAAAATAATGTATTGTATTTGGAATATTTTAAAATTGTTTGGTCCAGTGTAAAATAAAAACAAGACTTCACATTTTCTTATTTGGTTTGTAGAAAAATGAAACATGCCCAGCAAGCAGTGGTGGCAGGGGCAACGGACATGGGCAGTGGAAGGTGTCACGAACAAGAGGGTGGTGGTGGCAATTGGTTGTTGAAGTCAAGCAGCAGCCGCCGACAGCGAGTGTTGGGCTAGTGGGCTAGCAGTGCCGACAGTGAGTTCGACCGTAGAGGGTAGCAGGTAGCTAGTGGCACGTGGGGGAGGGTAGTCAACTGGCAGGATGGCAGTGGCAGCGGCGGGTAGCGGGCAGGAGATGGCCAGAAGCAATAGGCAAGTGGCATGCAATGATGGTGAACAACACTTCGCACAAAATAGTGTTAGTATAATTCACTTAAATTCAATGCATTCTAAAAAAGTTGAAAAATGAACTAGAGAAAAATGCAATGCACTAATTTTGCATTGAATCAAACAACCCCTTAACTAAATTAGATATTACATAACGATATATTTTACAAGCATTTAAGAAAATATGAATTCTAATTTGAAAACTTACATGTGAACATGCATATAATATATCAATATAAAAAGAACATTAACGGGTCTATTAAACCATAAATATATATATTTTCCCTTAAGAAAAAACAAATTTTCCTTTGAAGAACATTAAGAAATTCCAAGGGAAAGTTAAACTATATGACATATGATGCTATTTGCAGATGTGCTGGTAGAATCAAAAAAGAAAATAATGAGTACAAGTAAAAAACAACCGGTGGGTTTGCATGATGGTAGAACTTGAAAGACTAGGAATTGTTATTTTCATAATTAAGTTGCTAAGATATTCAAATTGAATTATCAAAATTGAACCAAACTATATATAAGATAAAATGGCTAATTAAGTTAAGAAGCATGCTCCACAAATTTTTTAAATACGTTCAATACAGCATATCTCGAATGTTCAAAATGATGGTGATATAAATGGGGATTTTGCTAGTAGAATTCTAGTCCATTATTAGATGTTGAAGTGGAGGAATGCATCGTGTCTATTGTGTGACAGAAAAGTATCGCTTAGGCTAAAAGGAAAATTTTATAAGAAAGTGGTGAGACCTGCAATGCTCTACAGTGTTGAATGTTGACCATTAAAAGAGAAGCATAAAACAAAGTTAAGTGTTGCCGAGATGAGAATCCTTAGGTGGATGGGTGGCTTGAAACTTCGAGACAAAATGTCAAATGAATATTTTTGTGATAGAGTTGGTGTAGCTCCAGTGGTGGATAAAATTAGAGAGAGTAGTATTAGACGATTTGGTCATATTGAAAGTCGACCATCTGATGAACCGGTTAAGAAAGTATATGTTTTAGATTTGACTTATGTTAAGAAAGGCAGAAGTAGACCTAGAAAGACATGGGCATATTATATAAGAAATTATTTTAATTTATTAGAATTAAATAAAAATATGACATTCACTATGTAGCAAACCTACTTAATGGGATAAAGGCTTGTTGTTATTCAATATAACATATCAATAAATGATACATGGCAGCAGTGGTGGATGTACAAATAATTCTTGAATGATTTTTTTTTCTTTTTTTTTAAAATGGTAATACAACAATTACTAAGGAAACATAATAAATATAAGAAAATTAGAACATTATAATAGGTCGAAGAAATAAGACTACCACAATGGATCATTTTTAATTAATTAGACAAGAATAAAAAAATATATATAAAATAGATGTGTAAAGAGAGAAGGATCTTGAGGGCCTGTTTGGGGCCGCTTATTTCGCGCGGCCCAGCTCCAAGCCGCGGTAATTTATTTTTTTCGTCGTTTGAAAAACGTGTTTGGCTAGCGTTTTTGATAATTTAGACAAAACACGGTTAACTGTCTTGCCTCTTTTTACTACCCAACCCGCTCGCGACCAAGCTTCACCCGCCCCTCCATCGCGACCGAGCCAAGCGTCTTCCTACCCTTTCTGGCGACCGAGTTTCCTTCTCTCGTCACCCTAGAGGTAACTTCCCTGGTCGCCTCCTCCTGTCTGGTCCGTGAGCTGTGCTTAGTATTTTCTTGGATCCTTTCCTGCCCTTCGGCCTACTCTATTCTCTTCCAAATTTTCTCCGGCATTATGATTTTGCGATGGTTTCTGAGCTCTATTTGGTGGTTGATATTCGATTGATTGTTCTCTTGCTGGTTTTTGATTGGTTGTTCTCTTTGCGGTTTTTCATTAGTGATGCCCTTTACTGTGGATTTGGCGGTGGTTGTTTGTTGGGGTGGTGGATTGTTGCTGCTTTTGGTGGTGGATTGTTGGGGTGGTTGTGGTGTTCGTGCTTGTGGGTTTTGTTGCGTGTGTTATGGTAGCTACGGTGTCTTATGGTAGCTATGGTGTGTTTTATGGTGGTTGGGTGAGAATTGTTTTGAAAAAATCTTTAGGGAACGCTTAAAAGAGTACTTTTAGTGATCATTCTCAATAACATGTAGGCATCATCTTTATTATATCTAGGAAAAAGCTGCAAATAAATTCTGACACAACCCCACAATAATAAATTCAGAGTATATTTTGCTAACTTTAAGCTGCCAATGATCCAACATTAGCTTTTATTTGAATTTATTTGGTGGTTGTGTTGTGGATTATGGTGGTTGTGCTGTGGTTGTGTGATTGGTTGTGGGTTGGGGTGGTGGCTCTAGCTAGTAGTGGATGTGTTGTGAGTTGCGATGGTTGTATTATGTGTAGTAGTAGAAATTATTTTGTGCATTGATATCCCATAGATTTGCTTTGAAAAATTCTTTAGGAAAAGCTTGAGAGAATAATTTTCAGTGAACATCAATAAAATGTCGACGTCATCTTCATTACTCTAGAAGACAGGTAATAAATTTTTTGGTTGGTTTCCATGATGAGACGTTAGACCTTGGGTTCTTCTGAATAGTCTGAATGTCGGTATTAGTTGGTGTCACATGTGAAATCCTATTGAAAGCAACCAAATATTGAAAGCAACCAAATTTCTCCATTTTTTTTTTTGTGATAGGGCTTTTGAGGTTCTTTTGGATGATTTTTTTTGGCGACATGCATATGTGACACACGAGCTTAGTATTATGTGGGTTAAGGATAACCAAGAACCCTTATTTTGTAAGATTTGTTATTTTTTTATAGTAACATATACGTTGGTTGGCATACTGAATTTTCTGAGACCTTATGACTGCACAAAGTTATAAGTAATTACTTCTTTTATCAATTTATACTTTTGTTATGACTAATGAATTGTCTTTTGAAGGATTCAAAAAATAAGAGTTCAAGGATTATAGGGACCTCACGAAGAGTATTATGTCACTGCGCATAACAGAGTTCTCTGCTCACGTCACGTCAGAAACATAGCTACGGGAGGCAATTCTACAGGTTCCATAGAAAATCACGAACAAGTGTGACTTCTTCCGGTGAGCGGACAGACTGGCAGTTCTACCACCGAGAGTAATCGAGAAATGATAGTATCTTTGGAGGACAGTTTGGCACGTGACATACGCCGTCTTCATTTTAAAAATAATATTATCATATTATTAATCTTATTTTATAGTATTCTTTTTTATTTTAGTAATGATGATAATCACTCCTAAGAGAGGTGTATATCTTTATTTTTTGCATTGTTCTGAAGTGAATACTTGTTTCTAAAGTATCAAATATATTGCTATGACAGTTATGTTAGAAACAGTATAACTACATGTGGGCAGAATGATCATTTGTCTAGAAACAGTTGTGCAACTGCTTTCAAATCGTAATAAACAAACAATCGATCAGCTTATCTGAAGCATTTTCTACACAGCAACTTTCTGTAACAGCTACTGCGCAGCAGCTTATTAATAAGCTGCAACTGCCCCAAACAAACCCTAAGACTACAATTAAAATGGTTGTGCCAAAAGTGAACATAGCAATATCTAGTTCAAAATGAAGATAATAAGGATTAGTTAAACATTTTCAACATTCTTGTTCAATCTAAATTATTAACAAGTATCAAAATATACCTCAAATGATCAAGTTTAAGAGTTTGAATGACAACGATATGTAAGATACTCTAAAAGAATCATTTAGTAGCAAAATGGGAAATAGAAGAAGTAAAATAGAATAATAGAGAAGTACAATGAAGGAGTGTTGAAAAGTGTAATAATAATAATATTTCCTAAAGTGGAAACATGAGCCAAGCACCAATCTAAATGAAAAAAAAATAGCAAGCATTGTTTCACAGCTAAAATATCAATGTCACACAATTTGCCTTCAAGATTGCAAGCTTCATGTGCATACTTTTCGAGAAGTTAATGCTTTAATAAAGCCATTATACAATATAAAAAAAGGGTAACTTTTATTATCCTTGCTAATTTAATGAGAGCATTGCTAGTCTGATTACTAGTAGCGAAAAAAGAGCTCAAATCATTTTAATGATGTGAGAATATAACATTGCTCATTGTCATCTTACCTTTGGTGATCAACAAGATGGAATTACAATTGAAAAAATCACCTAAAACCTATTTCAAATGCAAAAAAAAATTTAAATAAAATATTGTTTTTTTTTTCTCAAATCACTTAAACTATAGTCTTCTCCAAATGTATATGCATGATCCTAAGCCCTCAACAAACAACCAAAAGTTCATATGTTTTTAGCTTTAGATGATTTCAGAATGAGATTTATTTCAGAGGTGTTCTTTACTTTATAAATATGACACTCGTGCCATTTTAGAAACTTCTAAGAGCATTTAACTAGAGTACAATTGATGCAACTCTTCATAAGAACTATTGACAAACGATGGGCTCAAAAACTCAATTAGACTGTTCCATGATATAAATCTTATAATGATGACAATGATAATAAAAATGCTTCCTTGCATCATTAATATCCTTTGCCAACTTTAAATATCTGCAATTCTCTTACTATTGACATTCTCAACAACCTAACAATGACTTTGAATATAGCTTTGGGATTTTCACCAAGTTGTTCTAGAATGGATTCTTCACAATCTTGCTATGCTCTTATACTAGGTATCACAGTTGGACATTCATCCCTACAAATATGCAGGACTAAATTTGCAGCAAATTTGTAATTTGACCAAGAAATTACTTAAATTACTTAAGCTCCTCACCTACACAATTTTGATTTTTGATCGAAAACCATAGAACCAAGATCAACTAAAAACTTTGTTCAAACACAAGTGCTAAGATCACTATCTAGCATCCTAAATCCATTTTAAGTTTCAAGCTCATTCCTCCTCATAGCATCATATTAGTTCCCAATTCATCTTGCATACAAATCTTGAGTTGATAGATCCATATTATCGCCTAAGTATTAAAGCAAATTCATAACTGCATTTGACAAGAATAATGAAAAAAATCCAAAGAAGACGTATCTAATTGTTTATCGGTTTACATTGATCCCTATGAAAAAAATTTTCTAAACGTAACAAAGGTTAGAAGTTTTTCTCATCAACTCTTTACTACTCCCATCTTGTCTCTTGCCCTGCGATTCTCTGAAGTTTTCACCTTTTCAACTACAAATCAGTCTAAATGTGTTTTAAATTTACATCCTCATCCCCTCGAAAGTTTCTAACCTGAGAGTCAATAAAGCATTTCTGATGCATATTAAAACCCAATTGTTGCATTCTCATGAATATTAACTTTTCAAAATGGAGCATAGAGATGGTTGCCTAGTTTGCACTAGGAGTGTAAGCGAGTCGGGCAAAGCTCAACTCAAGCCAAACTTGAACTTAGCTTATCTATCAAAATGCAACTCAAGCTCAAGTTAAGTCGAATGACAAACTCAAGAGCTCCACTCACAATGATGACACTAAGCTAGTGAGCTAGCCCGCAACTCAATCCGAAAATCAAATTATCATGGGAGTTCACTGTATAATGAATCGATAATTGGGGAACAGATAAACATATCACGACAATTCACCAGAAAAGGCATCGACGTGGCCATCAATCGGCTAGTCGAGCAGTCTAGCAAGCTAACGAGCCGAACCAAGACAAGTTTGCTCGACCCGTGAGCTAGTTAACGGTCGAGCTCGAGCCAGCTTGGCTTACTTACACCACTATCCACTAGTTTGCACACAGAGCATAATCATCAAGCACTAATAGCACGACATAGAACTATTAGCCAACCTATGGAAAGCATGTGTGGCATTACCATTTCACCAAACCCTATAGATAGAAAAGACTGGACTAATAATGCTAACAAGAGGCGAAATCAGCTTGATCCTACAATCCAAGTCACCCCATATCACAACACTACAATGAAGAAAATGCTTGCCAAACACTTCAAAAATCCCACCTTCACCACTTTTATATTCTTTAACTAAAATTCACATGAATGATTGCAAGATTTATAAGTTAGCTAAATAATTAAATCAATTATAAAAGAAATAACATTGATCAAGACAATAAACACAAACAGAAATTAAGCAGCCCAGGGTAAGATCACAATGCATGAGACTACATGAACTAGTTCAGCTAGAGGGGACTGGGACCTCACCACACTCGGTGAGCACCATCAGGAGTCCAGGGAACGAGGCAAATAGGGCAACTTGGAAGGCAAGAGGGGTCCGAATCGGCCGGTAACTGTCCCTCAGTGACGCCGCTACTCTCTTCGCATTCTCGCTTTCGACCTATACTCCATCCTGTTTCCATCACCAATGCCACCTCCTCCTCCTCCCCCTCATCCTCAACCCCACCTCCCACTCCATCTCCTCCACCCGCCGGAGCAGCCAATGCTACAATTTCCGGCGACTCCACCCCAGCAGCCTCCGTGTCCTCGTACTCCTCTTCAGATTCCTCATCGACAGTTGCGTAATCTTCGTCGTCTGTTTCCTCGTCGGACTCCTCGTGGTCACTCCGAGTGCTCCTCCGATTCCCCCGAGAAGCCATGGCGGGCAATTGGCGGCGAGCGACAATAAAAAAAATAATTTTTCGTGGGCATATACCTACATGTTAATATAGATTTATCACAACAAAGGTTTATCAATCACCTAAACTTTATTATCTACGTTCATAAGACTCATTTACCTCTTCAAATATAAAATTTATCATAACAAAGGTACATAACAAAGGTATATATATATATATATATAGATATGCATGAATTTAAATATTTTACTTTTAAAAGATGATAATATTATTATTTTTGATGAGATACTGCAGATTTGATTGAGATGCAAGTAAATATAAAAAATTAGGTGAGAAATATGTAAACACATAAAACTTGTGTGCTATATATCTAAATGTTTTTTTCTTAATCAAAACAAATATTTTGGAGAGTTTCATTAGGGAAGGAGAACGCTTCGCCAAGAGAAAAATTTGCGCTCGTAAGACGTATGCAGCGTTGTGTACGTCAAGGAATTTATTCAGAGGGTATGGGGGGGGTTACAGGGGGGATGACGCAGATATAACCCTCCAATACTCTCTGAATAACCTCTCTGACGTACGCAGCGCTGCATACGTCTTACGCCAATCACCATCCTCTTTCATGCCAACCCTCATCTTAGCGTGGATGTTTATATTTCCTTTATTGCAACTTTAATAATAATAATAATATTTTTAATATAGAATTAAAGATTTTAAAGATTTAAACGCATTGCATGTATAAATAAAAGTTTAGCTATTAGATGTGTAAATACATAATAATTTAGTGGCATGTATGTAAATGTCCTTTATGGGTGGTTTTGGTCACTTATTTTCTTACTTTCTAATTTAAATTTTTTAATTTTTTTTTTTACTTTCGAAAATAAAAAATACTTAATGTTCAATGCTTGAAGTAATCTGTGCATAACGGTAATTGAGTTTTTTCAAGAAAAAATTTATATGAAAATCTACGAACTTACCACTTATTTCTTATGTATTTACATATCTAACCCCTAAACCTCAATTTTAACATATATATTTCAAGTGGCTTTTACAAGAAAAAGAGTATTCACTTCTAAGGATGGGGTTATACTTTCTACCATCATAATGGTTCTTCATGTTGGAGCTGTTTGAGCCTAACTGGTTGGATAGTTTGTTAGAAATTTGAAGGTCTTTCTCTAGATACGTATAATAATAATAATAATAAAAGAGCAACTCATGGCTTCTTTCGCGTTAAAACTTAAAAAGGTTACAAAATAAGGGAGGGATGGAAGATCCCAACGAAAAAACAAAAATACTTTATAATCCTAGGGGTTCCAAAATTTACAGTACAACGCAACGCAAAAAAATAAGGAAAAACGAAAAGATACATCAAAACCAAAAAACAGGTGACCCAAAATAGATAATCTTCGAGCAACTCCTTTCCTGCTGTGTGTGTGTGTGTGTGTGTGTGTGTGTGAAGAGTTTATATAAACTAATTTCAAAACAAATCAAATAATTACAAATACAACCAAGTCAAAAAATACATGCTTTTAATCAACACTAAATCAAACAAGAGTATTTTGCATGGCGATCCATTGCTTCTTTAAATTGGTAACATAAGACCCCCAATAACTCAATTTGCAAAAACAGACAAAAACTACAAAACAACTTCCCCACCATTCCTCTTCATGTGCAAAATAAAACACAAGAACAAAAATATATAACAAAAACACGATCATTTTTCTAAACTAAATCTTCATAAAAAATAATAAATATATCACAAAATAAATAAAATTTTACATTTCAACCACTCAAAATATTGAACATAACATTTTAACCACCTAAACTTTAAATATAACATTTTAACTTCTTTTCATTTCAGCCATCGACGAAGGTGTTGAGTGAAAATTTTGAGTGATTAAAATATTATATTTAAAATTTGAGGGGTTAATACGTCATATTCAATATTTTTGGGGTTTGGTAGGTAAAAACCCCGAATAAAACATAAAAAACACATATCATACCAGGAAAGAAGACATACAATTCCAACTAATCTTCATGTGTGAAGGCATTGGGGCCACAAATCTGAGCACATCAGGCTTGTTAGAAGACCATGGATTTCCCTCATCAAACCACTCATTGGAATTGCCTAAGAATTTAGCAATATTGGGGATCACCAATTCCCTACAATGCAGATGAAGAAGGGGAACCTTGGACAGGACACTTCCCTTCTGAACAGCCAGGCCCTCCGGCCGCCGAAGCTTATAGGGAGCTCCGGTCGACGGCTCGTAGTCTGCACGAGGCATCTGCTTCCATCTCTTGTGCACGAACCACCCGTAGTTGTAATCTCCAACAATCGGCGTGCCTAACGCTTCCGCACAATGCACTCGAAGCTGAAAGAGAATGAAAATCATTGCAATTATATGGATTGTTATGTTGTGAAACCGAAGTTTTACTCCATGAAGAAAGGAAGATTTACGTGCATACCGCTAAGTTCCTATGCATTTAGTATTTATGCATACAATATTTAGATATGCGTCACCTTATCTCTGCATGAAAAGATGTATTTCACATTTCAAAAATTAAAATTGTGATATTTTTAGATGTTAGATATGTAGATTCATAGGAATTTGGGTGGTATGTATGTAAATGACCCATGAAAGAAACACGCTACACAGATTTTGTTGTGGGACTTCTTTCACGGAAAGGTGGAAATACCTAGCAAGGGGGGGAGCTTCAGGTTTTTGGATATTTTATTGGAGGCATATTTAACATGCGTACATATCTAACATCCAAGTCTGATATTCATAATTACAAAACCTTGGTGCCGTAAGCCTGTGGAAGAAAATGTGTGTTTCATTTTAAAAAGAATAATGATTGTGATAATTTTTTTTTATGTGATGCTAAAGCTTTAAATGGTTTACATGCAATTAGGGGTATAAACGAGCCGAGTCAAGTGAGCTCAGGCTCTGCTTGTGTTCCGCTCGTTATAAAATATCATTATTCGTGTTCGGCTCGTATATATATCGAGCTCAAAAAGTTTATTCGTGTTCGGCTCGTTTGCTTAGCAAGTCAAGCAAGAGTTGTTCATGAATAAGCCATTTTGACAACCCTAGTCACGCAGCCATGGGGTATTAAGAGTAAGGGCAAGATTTAAACCTTTAAAATATTCATTTAAATAGAATTTAATATATATTCATTATATTTTTTTTAAATTAATAATTTTAATTGATTATAAATCTTTGCTCCCTTGGGGTCAAATAAATTATTTAAAAATAATATTCATCAATTATATATATATATATATAATTATTTCGAGCTAAAACGAGCCGAGCACGAACAAATTGTTTATTTATCGAGCACAAAAAATTTTTCGCGCTCGACTTGTTTTCTTAACAAATGAATCGAACACGAGCTACTTAACGAGTCGAATACAAATTCATGATGAACAACGAGCCATTTTGACAAGCATACATGTAACATGAGAGTTTAAATGTTAGATATGTAAATACGTAAGAAATTTAGTGGTATGCATGCAAACGCCCCTTGTATATTCAACTATCCAAGTATCAGAGTAACTAGAGGTAAGAATTCTCCGCAATCAAATCAAAATAAAATTCACAGCAGTAGCAAGATGTAGCACTCAATGTATATGCTGATCTACTATTATGCTTTTGCTCTCAATATTTGACATAAATTTTACATATATATCTGCACAAAACATTTTAGAAAAGATGAATTTTGGGCATGCTTCAGATTTGCAAAACATTGAAGTTGATGGAAGCTTTGGAAAGAAAAGTCAGTAAAAGGGGCAGTTTAAACAAACATTGACATATATGCCACCCAATTCTTATGTATTTAAATATCTAACACCTAAACTTTAATTATTACATTTATAACACCCAAACCTTTCATATCACACAAAAAATACCAAAGTGAAATACACCTTTTCATGCATAAGAAAGGTGACATGTTTGTAAAAAAATGAAGTTTAGGCATTAGATATGTGAATACAAAAGAATTGAGTGGTATGCATGTAATGTTTCATCTAGAAAATGTAGAGAATAAATTTACTCAAAGAACGTTGACCTGATGTTTCCTGCCAGTAAGGGGACGAAGCTCCAGCCATGAGCAGCCATTAATGGTTGGTCCTAACATGCGGTACTCGGTTATAGCTTCTTGAAAGGCATCCAAGCCAGAAGGATGGGCAAGCATGACTCTTTCTGTCTTCCCATCATTAAGAAGCACCTATGATCACATAGAAGGAAGATTAATATATATTTACATATCTACCTAAACATTACTTCTTTACATTTATGCCACCATCTTTCTTATGGGATAAAAAATACTATTATTTTAACTTCTTAATATAATACACCTTTTCATGCATAAGTAAGGTGGCATGCTTGTAAAAATAGAAGTTTAGACTCAGATATGTAAATCCATGTGAATTGAGTACTATGTATATAAATCTTCCAAGAATATATGATCCTGCGGTACACACCCACCCCCACCCCTCGCAAACCCACTAGAGACCGCTCCCTATCGTAAAGAACTCCCTCACAATCCACACACTCACGACTCCCAAAGCTACTGCCACTGCCCAACCCATGCTAGCAAGTGCTTGCAACACTCGCTCACACCTTGTCGTGCCATCAATATTGCATGAAATTATTCTTCACACTTTTCTCATAGAATAGATAACCAAAATTTATTTTCATCACTTGTTAATATATTCATCACGCCAATCATTATTATTGATGAATCTTTCTCTCCTGTCTCTAGAAAGGATTTATCCATGCTTCCTTAATAAGTTTAGACGATATTTACATGTTCCATATTTTCTTATAAACCTTCCTTCTATAAATCCTCTTATCAAATTCCGCAACTGCTTGGTAACATTTTATCATTCTCATTGCACTTCTAATGATATAAACATGAAAAAATAGTCTGTGCAGGTTTTGAAATTGGAAGCATTTATTATCTTGTTAATGATATTTCCACCGTATTCTCCGTCACTTATTCACCTTATCAACCGTATCAATGGAATTGTCATCTTAACCACATTACATCACACCATTTTTCGAGTTTCACTCATATTACCTTTTATGTTTCTAAATTTGAATGTAAAGCATGTTGAACATAATAAACACCGCTTTGTCTCATCTCATCTATCCATATTTCCTCATATTACTACACCTTTTGACCTAATACATTCAAATACATGGAGTCCAAACCCTAGGGACCATTCATTTGAGTTTTCATTACTAGCTCTTTATTATGTCAATATACATCCCAAGAAAATGATGTGGATAAACATAAGCAGCAGCATATTGATAATGCATGTATCTTAATATTTTATATGAATGGGAGATGCCATTTTCACAAAATGATAATCACTTACTCCTCGAGTTTTTGGTCGTGCTTGTTTTTGTCAACTTTCTTAGCCAGATATATGATAAATACTCCACTTATACCATTAAGTGTATCTTTGTATACTAATAGGTTCTGGGGAAGATTATTTGTGCTGTGTTTCATCTACACATTGACTCTATGTCTCTATCGATATTCCCTTTTAAGGCATCCCTCCACTAGCATTTTGCTTCAAATAATCACATTTTCTCTTGCTATTCCACTTCAAACCCATTGCCCTAGCGCATCTCCATCCCCTTTTCAGGTTTATACTTGTTGACCCTTCATATATCTCCTAATGTACTTCCTTTTACCACATCTACTATAGTTAGACATTTATGCACCTCAAACACGAGATCTACAACTCGCAATTACTTTCATGTTCTTCGATTATTTATCTTCTTTTTCATCAAATTGCCTCTACCTCTATTAGTTGTCTGTATTCATAAAACTTAAAAATGACTACTCAATTCTATTAGGAATCACATGATGAATGTATCATGAGTGCTCATTTTGATCATCATGCTTGAGATAAGGATGCATACCCTTCAAGTTAATCCCATTTTTTGTCACTAGGCCTTTAAATTTAAGTACTATCTAAATTGATTTATTGATTTTTTACAAAACTCGATTAGTGATGCCAAAAATTAGAGACATTCATGACATTAACTACTTTGAGACTTCTCTCCCCACTTGCCGCCACCTCTACTTCCCCCACAATTTTGCTGCTCCGCCTACCTACAATCAATCAAACACCATCCCATAGCCAAGCCACCACCCGGCCTTCCCCTCCTTTCCCTATTACCCCGCCGACACCGCCACCGCCTTCGAATTTCTTCCTACACCCCTAACTGGAGATTCTTCTATTATTGCATTTCCTTTCTGTTTGAATCGTGTTGTAATTTTATTTATATATTAATAAAAGTTTATTTTTTGTGTTTCGCACTAAGAGCACCGTCAAAGGGAAGATTTGTAGCCTGATCATCGACAGTGGAAGCTGCAAGAACGTGGTGTCCACGCTCATAGTGAAAAAGTTAGGATTGGACACATAGAAGCATCCTCAATCATATTACCTTATCTGGTTGAAGAGGTGAAACGGGATACATGTGGATCAACAGTGTCTAGTTGATTTCTCCATCAGAGACCAGCTACACGAACAGGTATGTTGCGACGTGGTTCATACGAACGTCTGCCACATTCTATTCAGAAGACCTGTTTAATCGAAAGAATCAACACGACGAGTTCAAGAACACTTAGTCTTTCAAGAAGGATGTGAAACGTATCGTTTTACTGCTTGCTAAGGATGCAAAAGGCTGGAGCGATACAAATACAGCATTAGTTCCTCATACTACTTTAATGCAGTCGGTTAGAGATGCCCCTATAGCACTAGCATTAGTCCTCCTAGAAGGAAGCGAGGAAAGAGAGGTACCAACACTACTACAACCACTGCTACAAGATTTTCAATATGTTATGGCTGATAGCTTACTAGAGAGATTACCGCTACTAAGGGACATCCAACAGGTCATCGACCTTATACTAGGATCTGTATAGCAAAACCGACCAACCTACAGATTAAGACTGGCGAAGTACAAAGAACTACAACAACAAATGCAGGATCTCGTCGCAAGGGGGCTAGTCCAAGAAATCACCAACCCGTGTGCAGTCCCTACCCATATGGTGCCCAAAAAGGATGGATCGTGACGAATGTGCATCGACATTCGAGCCATCAACAAGATTACCATCAAATACCGATCTCTCATACCCCACTTGGATGATCTCCTAAACCAGTTACATGGAGCCACTATCTTCTCCAAAATAGGCTTGCGCAGCAGATATTATTAGATACGGATGAGGCCAAAAGAAGAGTGGAAGACTGCCTTCAAGACGCGGGACGGACTTTATGAGTGAATCGTTGTGTCTTTCGGCATGTCGAACGCACCTGACACTTTTATTAGATTAACGAACCAAGCATTCTAACCTCACACTGAAAAATTTGTTGTTGTCTACTTTGACGACATTCTAGTCTACAACCAGTCAAAGGAGGATCACTTGCATCCACTGAAGGCAGTATTCAAGGTACTACGAGTCGAGCAACTATATGCCCATCCGAATAAATCTCACTTCATGACAAGCCAGATATGCTTTATTGGTTATATCGCGTCCAGTGTAGGCATTCAGATGAATCCCGTAAAGATGAGGTCATTATCAGTTAGGTCGTACCACAATCATTCACCAAGCTAAGGCAATTTTTGGGGCTAGCATCCTTCTATTGAAGATTCATTAAAAACTTCAGCACTATTGTCTCCCCTCTTATTGAACTTCTGAAAGGGAAGAAGTTTACTTGGGCAGCAACAGCCCAGGGCCGTTTTGACACACTGAACACAATGAAGGAAAAGGTGACTCGAGTACCAGTGTTAGCGCTACCTGACTTCAACCAACATTTTGAGGTAGAATGTGATGCCTCCAACGTGGGGATCAAACCAATACTAAGCCAAGGAGGACATCTGTCACTTTCTTCAGTGAGAAATTGAACGAATCCAGAATAAAATACTCAACTTATGACAAAGGATTCTATGTCATTGTAAGAGCTCTGGAGCACTAGAGTCATTACCTATTGACAAACGAGTTTACATTATTTAGACATTACAAAACCCTAAAATTCCTCAACAGTGAAAGCAAAACAAAGGGACGACACGTCGCCTGGGTGGAATTACTAACGTCATTCCAGTTTGTGCTAAAACATAAGGCAGGAAGCCAAAACCGCGTGGCAGATGCACTTAGTTGTCGACACATATTGATCACATCCATACAGGCACGACTCATGGGCTTCGAGGTCATAAGGGATCTATATATAAAATAGATAAAGATTTCAAAAACATATGGGAGCAATGTCAGGAAAAGTCAACAGGGCAATATTACTGCACAGATGGATAGTTGTTCTACCATAGTCAGTTGTACATTCCCAGGTGTTCACTAAGGGAGGTCAATGTCCAGGAAAGCCACGGCGAAGGACTAGCAGGTTATTTCGGTAGGGAAAGACCCTCGCCCTAGTAAGAGAGCAATTTTTTTTTGGCCAAAACTAACAAGAGATGTTGGACAACACGCCACGTAATGCGGGATGTGTCATCTGGCAAAGATAAGAGCTCAGAACGTCGGAGTATACACACCACTTCCAGTACCAGAGGCACTGAGGGTGGACGTCAGCATGGATTTCATGTTGGGACTTCCAAAAAACCAAAGGAACAAGGACTCCGTAATGGTTATAGTAGACGGATTCTCCAAGAAGGCCCACTTTGTACCGTATCACCAGACACTTGATGCCTCTCACATCGCCGATCTATACTTCAGAGAGATCGTGAAGTTGCACGGAATTCCTAACACCATCACCTCAGACAGAGACGTCAAATTCCTCGGCCACTTTTGGAGGACACTATGGGGAAAGCTTGATACCAAACTTCAGTTCAGCTCGACAACTCATCCGCAGACGGACGGACAGACAAAGGTAGTAAACCGAAGCCTCAGCAATCACCTGAGATGTTTCGTGGGAAAAAAACATAAGACTGTGGGATCTTATCCTAGCCTAAGCTGAGTTTGCCTAGAACTGATCCATCAGCCAAACTGCTAGATGAAATCTCTCGAAATTGTGTACAGACACAATCAGCTCACGCCACTAGAATTGGTGTCGCTCCTACCATCCTTGGAAACCAGCAAGAAACCCACCGAACGAGTTCATGAGATTCAAAAACTCCATGAAGAAGTTGGCAAGGAGATTGCTAAGCAAAACCGCAAATATCATGCACATGTAAATAAAAGCAAGAAGAAAGTAACATTTCAGGAAGGTAACTTCGTATGGGTTCGGTTAAAAAAAATTCCCGTAGGAACATTCAGGAAGCTTAAGCGAAGAGCAAATGAACATTTCAAAATACTTCAGAAGCTGAATGACAATGTTTACATAATTGACCTGTCTGGGGACTACAACACTTCAGCCAGGTTCAACGTCGCCAAATTGACGTCATGCTTTGAAGAGCCTGAAGCTTCGAAAAAAGAGGTTGAAACTTCCCCAACCTCCGGAGACTGACACAAGCGTTGAATCAGCGTCCAAGTGTGGGAGTTGAATGCATCCCAAAGTGGAGCGCTTCGATTCCGTGGGACAGAAGGCCCGCAAAGCTTAGCGGGAACAGTAAGGCGGGGATAGTATCGCGATCTCACACGGAGTGGGGAGGTGGATCGCGAACTCTTGCGATCCAAGGAGTTGCTTCGCGTATCTGCCACACCCGTCTTCTTCTGAGAAGAGTTTTTTTTCTTCCTTCTTACCTTCTCACCCCTCTTCCTTTTGTGTAGTAGTAGGAGGCTATAAATAGCTATCCCTTGTGTGCAGGAGTTAATTGTAGTGGTGTTACTTCAAATCTCATGTGTGGAGTCTCTTCCCACTTGTTAGGGTTGTATCCGACAACAGGAGGTACTTTGGTTGTATCCTGCTCCGAAGTGGTGTAGTATACTTCCAATCTCCTTTGCTCCTTCTCCCTGACCTTTCTCTACCACTCCCCTTAGCCGTCTACCACCCCAAATCCCTCCACCTAGCTGCCACCACCTCTACTTCCCACACAACCTTGCTCTTCCACCTACCAAAAATCAATCAAACAACATCCCAACTCACTTAGGCCATCACCTTCAGCCCGTCCCCGGGCCTCCCCCTCCTTTCCCTACCACCCCGCCAACGCTGCTTCCGCCTTCGGATCTCTTCCTACAACCCTAACCAGAGATTTGTTTATTATTTTATTTCCTTTCTGTTTGAGTCGTGTTGCAATCTTATTTCTATACTAATAAAAGTTTATTTTTTGTGTTTATAGTGTTCTTCCCACTAGTTCCGGCATTACAAATAGTAAAGTAATTGGGAATGAAGAAAACATTATAAAAAACTTATGAATGACCGCATAATTTTCCCCGCAATTAGCATGGTTCATCCTACGCTATACATTTCATAATTCAAAATATCACTTTAGGTCAGAATAAGTCTGGGAATAACTATAATAATATATTTGGGAAAAAAGAAGTCCATCAATCCACATTTTAGAAGAACAGAAGTTGGAGCAGAAATGTTGGTAAAATACCTTAGTGAGAGGCCTAGAGATAACCCCCTGCTTTTCTTGGGGAGAACCTATGACCAATGCCCAGTATCGTTGCATTGTTCTTTCACAAGCATAATTCCATACCTGAATAAACATCACAAATAAAACCACAAAATTCAAAAACGTCTGAATATTAGACAAGAAAGAGATAAAACATCATTTCGAGCTAACTCGAGAAATAAAAGTAGAGGATAACATTAGAATCCACAAGCTCTCAAGGAGATGAAATGCTTGCAACAAGGCCAACCACTAATCCCAATAAAAGCAGGATCCTTGAATACATAAAAACAGGATCCATACATAAGATTGAAGATATATAGAATCAGTTAATATATGCAGATAACTAATTTAAGAAAAATTTAACCCTACAACACAAGCACACAAACACACATACACACATACTCAGTTCTTGTGTTTATCATTCTACATAAACTGTACGGTTGGCTATTCAGGCTTATGACAAATATGATGATTCTCAAAATGATTTTCTCTTTTATAGACATGAAACTGACAAAAGAACGTAACATTTGTGAATTGTTAGTGGTTGAGCGTTTGAGCCTAACATCAACTTTAACAATATAAAAGTGGTAGTTTTATTTGCAATTCAATGGACATCACAACCGTGTTAATTTACTTTTCAATCAAGTTGTTTTTCATAAAAGTTCATGTATATTTAGTTGCATCTTTACTCATAATTTCTATGTTTAAAATAGTGCCCATGAGAATTTTGCATTATTGTGCATTACTAGACATTGAAAAGTATGTTAGACACTTTCAAATCAAACAACTTGATGGGCAAGAACACAAAATATTAGATATTTTTTTACTTTTGGTCCTCGTCAAATCACATACTGAATCAAAACATTATTGCACATATATAATGATGATAGAACAAGTATTAATTTATACCTGAGAAGATGTCTTGGCATGATTAACATCAGTAAACAGCCAATGAAGCATCGCAAGGCTTTCTTTTTTCCTACCCAGCAGCAGCAACCCACTACTCTCCTTGTCAAGCCGATGCACCTGATATGAACAAGAGATTTAGACGCATCATTACATACAGCACACAATTCTTATGCATTCATCGCACTCAAATCTTTAATATCCCATCAAAAATAGAACTATTACAGCTTTTTAAAAGTGAAATCCACATTTTCAATCATAGATTTAAAGAACCAATACGATATGTATGTAACTATGACTGTTTAGGTGTGAGATATGTAAAAACATATGAATTGTGCGCTATGTATGTCCATTTCTCTAAAAACAAATAGACTCCGCTGCTAGAGTAGAAAAAGCTCAGAAGATAACATTGCACGTACCAATTTGGGACCCTCTTCATTCCCATATGAAAGAGCTGCTGCAGCTAATACATCCATACTGTTATGAACTGGCAAGTGCCCCTACAAAACATAACAAAAGAACAAAAAAGACCAAAAGAATTTCATAAGATAGCTAAAAGAGATCCAATAATACAATAGTATGGAAGTTGTTCTTAGCTCGCATATGGAACCAACCTTCGCAGGCACTCTAGGAGGTTTATTTAATATGATTATGGCAGAATCCTGAAATTTTAAGTATTTAATAAATGTTAATAAGCAGAATGTACAGTTTCCTTGCTTAGAGAGACCAAATACACAGAAACCTATATCAAAAACAACATAGAAAATGGTTATGCCTTATACATAACAAGCCTCCGCAAATATTCAATTTCATCAGCATTTGGATGCAGCGTTGCAGTTGGAATGGTGTCATATCTCTTCAATATTCTTGACTCTACAACAGATACAGGAACATAAATCTTCTGCCCAACCTTCATAACATGATCGTGTTTTATCTGCATATATACTGTAAAGCATAGTCACTGGATGAGGCAATAAAAGCAAAAACTCAAACAACTTGTCAGTTGATACAAATGATACAAAATGGTAAAACTGCAGAATAGAATTCAGCCAACAATTTAATTTGAACAGAAAATAGCATGTTGCATTCCTACTTTAGTAAAGCAGGCAGAGAAAGAACAATCAATTCATGCATAGGGTCTACAAAATTATTTAGGAAAATTTACATACCTAGCACACAATTTTTATGTATTTACATATCTCACACCTAAAAGTTCATATTCGCATACATAACATTTTGTTACTTTAAACCTATGCATGAAAAGGTGTATTTCTCTTTTAAAAAGTGGCAATAGTGCTATTTTTTATGTGCTAATCAAGATTTGAGTGCTGTGTGTAAATATGAAAGTTTAGGTTTGAGATGTGTAAATGCATAAAAATTATGTACTATGTATGTAAATGCCCCAATCATTTAAGCATGCTGGGATGAAAACAAGTACGTAAGAAATAAGTGAGATTTATTATAAATAAAACTTGAACTCTACATAAAGTACAAACTGTTTTCTTCAACATTTTTACAACTTTTTACCAAAGCAAATAGCTGTGCAGTCTCAGTATACTGTTCCAGCGCATAAATGTGCAACTTATATAAATTAAAGGTAAAAAGAAAACACAATAAAAGACGATAAAAGACGAGAGTATCTATTTTGGCTATTGAGGATAAGTTAATCCAGGAATAAGTTTAAGAGTAGAACAATAGAAAGATAATTGGGTAAATAGAATTTGAACTGCAAAATAGATAAATTCAAACGGAGCATTCTTATGCCCAAGTACTGAAAAGAACAAATTATTTTATAACTCATAAGTAAAAATCTCAGAATTTGCAAACTTTAGAATCTGATTAGGAATATCTGTTTGAAATGAACAACCAATCAGAAAACATTGCACGTATCACATGAGATTGGAGAGATAGGACCTAGAATAATGAATACCTTTTTTAGAGTAGGCAATCGATGATGCATTTCCATTGAAGGCTCGTCAAGACCTGATACTTCCAATTGAACCTGATCAAAATAAGATGAACTAAATGAGAGTTTCAAATTTTCTTATAAAATAGATATAAATAACTCCAAATTACACCAAATAGAGCATTGTGAATTCATTTCACATGAGTATTACACCAAAAGTCCAAACATTGCTGCAATATTGTATATTTGACACTTGAATCGAAAAAATGACACCGTGATTCTTGTTCCTTATAATGTGACACCTTATGCTAAGAACGACGGTAGCAGGTGTTGATTTCAGATTTGTTTGTAAGTTATGTCCAAATCTTATTAGCATTAAAAAAGAGATGTGAAAAAAAATGAAAGCAGAGAATGTAAAATCCATACATATCTTAGATCCAGAAAATACAGAATAAAGATGACCCTCCAAACATAAAAGAAAGGGTTAGGAGAAAATATATATATACATAGAAATAGTCCTCACTAACAGCACTATCCTACATAATTACTGCTGCATTTCTCCACTACCATAACTAACTTTTGACAGCAGGATCTTCCGCTCCATTACTTGCAATATCATGATTCTCCACCTCTTTTAATTATATACCTCACTCAAGTGTCAACTTAACCTTACATAGAATATATACAAGCACTTACTGTATAGATGGGCATTGAATGGAATGTCTATTAGCTAATTTGCATATTTTTTCCTCTGTTTTCCTGTCACGTAAGCAGCATCAGTAGCTTTTCTTCAATGGAGTTGATGTGCAAAACTTCTCATGGTATCAGTGCAAGGTTGCCATCCAATCCCCTATAATCTCTTCTCCCCTCCTACAAATGTCTATCTTCTCTTCATACACTAACCCAACTTCAAACTCTCCTCCCCAATCATGGCCGAAGTTCCCCTACCTTCCTCTCTAAAATTTTTTATGTTAAAATCAAAAACATTGCTCACATTCAACTCACCACTGACAACTATCATATTTGGAAATCCCAAATGCAAAAACTATTCCAAGCAAATGGTTTCGATAGCTTTTTGGATGGTTTGGCCACCCCACTCCACCTCAAATACCTTATTCCAATGGCCAGCCTATTCAGAATCTGGAATTTCTCACTTGGCAACTAGTTGATCAAAACTTATCAGCAGCCATATACTCCACTATTTCACCAACAATCCACCCCTATATCCTCGATCTCGGATCTACTTCCAAAATCTGCACACCCTCAACGGATTACGAGCCTCCTATCAATCCTTCAAAACAGCTATCAGCACGCGATCTGAACCAATCAAGCTCGATGATCTCAATTGCTTGCTCTACAACAAAGAAAACAACATTTTGTTGAAATTGCCAAGGAATCAAACCTTAATGACGTTGCATTGTACTCATCTAAATCCGTTAACAATGTTGCCACTTGCGACCGAGGAAAAAAATATCCAACCCATCGAGGTACAACCAATGCACCCACAACTTCTCCTTTGCCAGAAGCAGACATAGCCACAGCAACTCACGCCCTACTAGTCAGAAGGTAGTTACGGTAGTGCTAGAGAAATGCAGCTGTAATTATGTAGGATAGAGTTGTTACTGAATCAGTTCATGCTGATGTTTGGGGATCTGCCCCTACTATGTCCCTTCAAGGCTATAAAAATTATCTCTTCATGTTGATAATTATTCTCGTTATATATGGGTGTTCCTTGTGGCTGCAAAATCCAAAACTAAAAATAAACTCATTTCATTTCATAAAATGGTTCAAAAATAATTTAACAACTACATCAAAATCTTACATACTGATGGAGGGGGAGAATTCATATCACACCATCTACACAACTATCTCCAACTTCATGGCATTATTCATCAATTTAATTGCCCCTACACACTGTTGACCTCATTTTTAGTGAGATCTAGTCTTCCGCTTAGGGTTTAGGATCTAGCCTTAGGGATCTCCCTTCGACTATCTTAAAACCTTAGAAATGGGACCCGCCTCATTTTAAAAAATTCAACCCGCTTCTGTACTCTTTTGTGGTTTCAAGTGTGTGGTATCGATTTCTAGCATTTAGAAGAGCAGAACCAACATGAGGAAACTCAAAAGGGATCCCTATAAGACCTTTTGAGCTTTAGGGTGGCCTTCTGCACAACTCGCACTCCCGCGCGCACAAACTTCGCAATTCGGAGGGTCGACACGTCCGATCGCCACGATTCGCATCGCTCGCACTGTTACTTGTCGAATGCTCGAGTTAACCTTTTGAAACGATGGATCGCGGGTCGAATTTTTGTGAAATTTGAATTTTGACGCGTTTTTTACCCGATTTTTTGTGAAATTTGAATTTTGACGCGTTTTTTACCCGGATGACAAAACGGACTGCGCTGGCGCGTCCAGGACGTCGATTTTGCCTAGGGAGGACACCCATTTTATTACGTCGCCGCGCGCGAATAAATCGAATATAATTTAATATATATATATATATATATATATATATATGTATATATATATATATTTATTTATATTACACCTATTTTCCCCTTTTCCTCT